CGTTTGCGAAAAGGATTTTGACATGTTATCTAAATGCTGAGTTTTGAAAAGTCTTTGCGAGCACTTGGTAAGTTGTCGTACTAGGGTTACGGACCTCCGATTTTCTTATAATTTATATGCACGCGTAGCCCTAGGTGTCTAGTTTCATTATATATAAACCTTGCAAAGAAATTCTGAAAGCTCGATTTATTATGAATTTTACTAGCCAGGACGTTTGTGAGATTTTCACTGTTTTATCTCTTATTTTGTGAGTTATGTTTCGAGGGGTAAACGAACTCCAAATCACTATTATTTTATATGAACGTGAAGCCCCAGATGTCTAGTTTCCAGATTACAAAGAATATTTTTTTGAATCGTTGAATTGGATTTTATACGAATTTTTAAAGACAGAAAGGTCTATCAGGAAATTTATATTTTTAGTAAGTTGAAGAAATTTTGCGTACCCTGATTTTTGTAATTAACCAGAACCCCTCTTTACTTTTAATTGGCAATGTAAAAGCAATTCTTTTTCAGTCTCTAAAATACTATGAAAGAACTCTAATTCCGCTTAGCAAACACATCTCTTGGAGGCCTACAAGAGAGGGTGTTGGCAAGGGCAGGGAGTGATCGCCGGTGCGAAAGGGCACAGACAATGAGCGGCTCATGCCAAATCTTGCAGCTTGGGGGTTCATGAATGAATCGAATCAACACCCGAAAGAGAAGGATTCTAGAGACTGTGCTGGTATGGGACGGTACAGTTAGGAACGGCTTATAAGAATTAATTGGTACTACCTATACTAACAAGATGCATCTACTTTTCGGTAGCCCGGATCGGAAGAACTCCACAGTTAAGCGTGCTTGACTTGGAGCAATTCTGGGATGGGTGTCCTCCTGGAAAGTTTTCTCGAGAAGTGTGCGAGTGAGGACAAAGCATACTGAAAAGTCTCGTGTTAGTGTGTGGGGACAGTCATTGATTCTTGCAAGTGGCCGGGCGTTACAAGCCCCAACTTGTTTTGAAGTTTGTCCCCAATCTTCGCCTTACCATCCCATAATCTGCCTAAATTCAAAGCTTTTTACAATTACACCAAAGAAACTCCAGCTATAGATGTGTAAATAAAAGCGAAAATAAAAGCGATAATAAGGCTCAGGATTTTGTGTGTGTGTGCATAATTACTAAATAACCAACAAATCCATTTGCCACAACTTTTTACTACATAAGTCTTATTAACCATTGTTAGGGTAGACGTAAGGGATTAACCTTCTATTACTTAGGCTCAAATTTAAAGGCTCCCAGATAAAATGAGACTAACGAGTCAGGGGCCTCAACCATACAGAGGTCTTAAGAATATAAAGCTCCATCTAATCATGAAGTAATATTACTTCTTATTACTTATATCAGCTCAGACTGATTAATTAACACCTCCAATTACGACTATTTCGTATTTTCAATTTATATGTTACTAGATAGGATTTCTCTTATTTCCTAATTCAGTTCTTAATAATGACACAATTCGGTTCACTCTCTAAACTAATCCCATACTCCCATTATATTCTGACGTCTACATCAATTATTTACTAAATAAAACCACAGGTAAGATCCTATGCCTAATAACCTCCAGGAACGCATACATTTAAAGCAAAGCGCAACACAATCCAGATTTTAACTAAAAGAAATTCTTCATAGAATCACAATTCTATACTACTTTTCAGACATACCATGTTAAATGGTACCCCTCCTACAACTCGTCAAAACATCCATATGAGGAAAACTTCCTCGAGCTTTTCGACGTCCTAGGTACCTTGGATGTAATTGACTCCACAGATCGGCGGATCCACTTAATCATGATACGAATTTTCCAATCATTAACACACATTGCAATCACAACACATCTATCAGCCATAACTCACTAAAACTAACCAAGTTTTCATAGTTCCAGTTCACAATACTTGCTTTCAAAATTCCTAGCTGTAGTTAAATTAGCATTCTTAAAATTAATTCCTACGGTACGAGACTTCATACATAAAATGAATTAAGAAACACAAACCCCAAAATCATCACACTGCTTAGGGTGGTCACAAAATACACTCAATTTTTTTTTAGGCAGAACTTTACACAGTATAATCACGGTTAAAAAAAATGACACAACATGCATATTCAATTATAATTCAATAGTATTAAGATGCTCTAGTTTAATTCTACTTTTATATCCCATGCTCAACTTACAGATTGGATGCTCACGTACTATGCAGTCATATCGGAAGAAATTAATGAGTACTATCTCTATTGACGTATACAAATAATTTGCAGCAGACATGAACAGAGAGTAAAATTTTCTTATTAATCAGTGTTAACATAGAATGTGGCATAACTGGGTTAGTGTGGATGTGAAGAAACAGAATTCAAAACCCACTAGAGAACACATCATGTTAAGCATATTCCATGACAAATTTTTCGATTGCTAAGAACAAAACAAAAATAATATAAAAAATTTCCTTGCAAGACATGTCCTAGAAATAATTTCAATAATAATGTGATGACAAGAACCTAGTGTTACTTTATTCTATCAACAATTAATCCTTCATCCACAGTACTCATGTTACCATTGAAGTGAGGTAAGAATATCAGAAACTACATGACCGTAGTCACAAGTCTGATTTTTAATGTAGATGAATAAAGCAGTAGCACATATGTACATTTATCTATTCCTCTTAAGAAATTTGTCTTGGGGCATAAAATATCAATAAATACCAAGGTTACAATATTTCTTTCTATTATTCATAAGATTTAGAATTCATCAGCATTCTAGTCTATAAAGGTAGACAAGCCAAAATTCAGTAGGACCTAGGATAAACACGTCACTTTAGAAAATAAAAGGGGTTAAGTAAAATGTAGATGAAAGTAGGCAAATCAAAAAATCAACTCTAGAGGAAAACATAAAAGAAATCATGCATGGTTCTTTCACAATATAATCCTGATGCCGATTCGAAAAATAATTTCTATATAGATGCCTAATATTCCTGACGGTGTAACACTTTAAATCCTACGAATACTTTGATAGTTCACAAATTTGGTTTCATAGGCTAGACTGATATTTTGACAAGGAACAGTTTCATAAGACAAAGAGAAAAACACAAATTTACAACATAAAATGAAAGTAACTGTTCGGCTTCAACAAAACAAAATAGAATAAAGGCTCAATGAAACGAGACTACTCAGAGCATTCACACTTATCTGTTCAATTAACTATATTTTAAATTTAATTCAGATAATCTTTCTTTATTTATTTATACGGTACCATTAAAATGTTTAAAATTTACACTGACGACGGCAACAGTCATCATATAAAACCCTTAGAATAATCAAATACTATATACTATATGCAAGTTTAAAAGTAGTCACAACCATACAAGGCAATCCAATACATAAGGATTAAAATGACAAACATCACTTACCTTGTTTAACAGCTTTTTTCTCAAGTATGATGTCTAGTGCCAATTCACCATTAGAAGATTTGTAAAGACAGTGGAATCACATGTTTAAGTCTTAATTACTACTAACTCTACGTTCTAAAAGCATTAACCGGAACTACTTAGGTAAGTGACCAATCCCTACATTAATTTTCCTAATTAAGTCACTGCCACTATTCTTGAACATATTAACTACTTACGCGAAAACAGAATTAGTGGAGAGTAACAATTTCTACTATTCAACTATACAAACAACCACGCCATACAAGAAATGTCATCGTTCACTAAGACGATTATGTAACAGCAATAATTCAGCACGGTTCAAGGCATCACTTCATTGAACATTATCTCAAGCATAGACAAAAATACAACCTTGTGAAATTCATAGAGAACAGGATTGACAATTCGCTATTAATGCAAGTAACAATTTAATATTTCACACGGCGTTCTGATACAAGTACATCCCGGAATAACCATGAGTGTGCACACACACCCTACGCGTCAGTGAGTTGATCAGGCTCACCTCCTTGCATTGAGGTGTGCATAACCATGTTTAATACCGGATACCACAAGTACCATTACGCACAAAGGATCAGGCAACAACAGTTATTCACAGTTATAAACAAATAGTAATAATTCAGTGACTATGCCAACAACCAACATATTCAAGCAACAATCATTCAACAACCAAGTACAAACAGCACACAATTCATTAAAACAGACACCTTGAATCAAAACTGCTCTGATACCACTTGTAACGCCCGGCCACTTGCAAGAATCAATGACTGTCCCCACACACTAACACGAGACTTTTCAGTGTGCTTTGTCCTCACTCGTACACTTCTCGAGAAAACTTCCTAGGAGGTCACTCATCCCAGAATTGCTCCAAGTCAAGCACGCTTAACTGTGGAGTTCTTCCGATCCGGGCTACCGAAAAGTAGATGCATCTTGTTAGTATAGGTAGTACCAATTAATTCTTATAAGCCATTCCTAACTGTACCGTCCCATACCAGCACAGTCTCTGGAATCCCTCTCTTTCAGGTGTTGATTCGATTCATTCATGAACCCCCAAGCTGCAAGATTTGGCATGAGCCGCTCATTGTCCGTGCCCTTTCGCACCGGCAATCACTCCCTGCCCTTGCCAGCTCTTGGGATGTTACACACTTTCTCTCTCCCATGATTTCTGTTTTTCTGTGTCTATCTCTCTCCTAAAATGACATAACTTATGTCGTTTAAAATGACAAACACCAAACCATATATATATATATATATATATTTAAATTTATTTATTTATTTTTCCTTTTTTTCCTTTAATTATTTTTATCTGAATTTATCCATCGCAACTAACTAATTTGGAATAAAAGTATTATTAACGTCGAAGTTGTTGATCTTCTTTGTCTATATATTTTTAATTGTATTATTGGTATCCTTTTAAAATCATTATCTTATGTGAGTTTAAAAATTACTTTTTTTGTGATTAACTTAGCTTTTAGAGTCATCACAGACAGCAGTGGAGAGGAGAGCACTAGAGATGCATAGCATTCCATATTCACATGACCGTTAAGAACAGTTTCCTGACAGCCCTTGTGGGAAATTGCAAGGAATTAAGCCAACTCAAGCAAGTACACGCATACATCCTCCGATGCCGCATCAAAGACACACCCTATGCCATCACCCCGCTTCTCTCCGTCGCAGCCACCTCCAACGACGCGTCGTTTTTCTCCTACGCTCGCTCGATTTTCGCGCACCTCACTCACCGCAACACCTTCATGCACAACACCATGATCAGAGGCTATCTTCAAAACCGTTCTCCTGCACCAGCTGTATCGTGCTACTTGGCAATGTTGCAAAACGGCATTGCCGTTAATAACTACACATTCCCACCTTTGATCAAGGCTTGCGTTGCACTGGCTTCTTCTTCTTCGAACGTTATAGGCCGGTTAGTCCATGGTCACGTCGTTAAATTCGGGCTTCGCGATGACCCTTATGTTGTGAGTGCGTTTATAGAGTTTTACTCCACTTCACGTCAGGTGGAAAAGGCGAGGTTGTTGTTTGATGAAACGGCAAGTAAAGATGTGGTGTTGTGGACGGCAATGATCGATGCTTATGGCAAAATGGGGAATGTTGAAAATGCCAGAGAATTGTTTGAGGAAATGCCTGAAAGAAATGCTGTATCGTGGAGTGCCATGATGGCAGCGTATTCTCGGGTTAGTGACTTCAAGCAAGTGCTTGCTTTGTTCACAGAGATGCAAAATGAGGGCACGAAGCCTAATGAGTCGATCCTTGTCACTGTTCTCACTGCGTGTGCACATCTTGGTGCGCTCATGCAGGGATTGTGGGTGCATTCCTATGCCAAGCGATTCAATCTTGACTTCAATCCAATTTTGGCAACGGCTTTGGTGGACATGTATTCAAAATGCGGATGTGTGGAATTGGCTTTGCCTGTTTTTGAGGGCATTGTTTCTAAGGATGCTGGAGCGTGGAATGCTATGATTTCTGGGGCTGCCTTGAATGGTGATGCAACCAAATCTCTGGAATTTTTTCACCAAATGGCTGATTATGGGACTCAGCCCAATGAGACTACGTTTGTGGCTGTCCTCACTGCTTGTACACATGCAAAGATGGTTCAGCAAGGCCTTCAGTTGTTTGAAGCAATGAGTAGTACATATGGAGTTGCACCACGGGTGGAGCATTATGCATGTGTTGTTGACCTTCTGTCCAGAGCTGGTATGGTGGAGGAAGCTGAGAAATTTATGGAGGAAAAGATGGGTGGACTCATGGCCACCGATCCCAATGTGTGGGGTGCTCTTCTGAACGCATGTAGAATTTATAAGAATATTGATGTTGGAAATAGAGTGGGGGAAAAGCTGCTTGATATGTGCGTAGCTGACTGTGGTACTCATGTCCTTACTTACAATATATATAGAGAAGCTGGGTGGGATGCAGAGGCAAACAGAGTTAGAAGTATGATTTCAGAAGCAGGCATGAAAAAGAAACCTGGATGCAGCATAATAGAGGTGGATAATGAAGTTGAAGAGTTTCTTGCAGGTGATCACTCTCATCCACAAGCACAGCAAATATGCAAATTGCTTGATTCTATTCACAAGATGGTGGATTTGGAGCACTACTGATGGGTATAAAATATTGTTTGCTGCCCAATTATCTTCTAACATGCTTTAGAATAAGAACAGTAGCTCCACGAGAGAAAAAAAAAAAAAAAAAAAAACAGAACGAAGGAAAGGAAAGAAAATAAAGGTTATACTGCAGCCACTAAACAATGCCCTTGCTTAAAGAATTTGGAGAGTATTTTACACTGGTTTGTTTCAGTTCCAGCCTAACAGGCATCTTAACCCATGTATTATATAATTAACTCTCATATTTGCGGAGTACAACAATTGCATCGTTGACTTGTCATCCAGTAAAATTTAATAAGTCATGTGAACTGGCTGATACATTTTGACTACAAAGTCGGGCTCCCGTTACAAATTTTTGTGGAAATTTGTAAGTTAAAAGTGGCAATTTCTGTTTTCTCATCTTTCATGTTTGATCTTGTAGCAACCTCAGGTATCAACTGAGGAAAGGGAATTGTTTGCCTCTCAGCTGTTGTATGATGGAAAAGCAGCAATGAGCAATTGAGCATTGTAGTTGTTTCAAATCAGGTGTCAATAACACTGATTTGCCTGGAAATTATCATCTGATAGTAAGCCATTGATGAGGCGTTTAAGCCTTTCAGCGCCAGGGCCAGGTCTAAGTTCAGTATTATTTCTTATGAGAGAATACTGTTTAGTGGTGTTTAAATTTGCCTGACTGAACCACCTGCCAGGCACATAACCATCTGCATTTCGTTTCAAGAGTTCAGAATCAATCTTATCCAAGACTGGTTCATTCCTCCCAAATTTCCTAGCAAAAGGAGCATTGCTGTCCACCATTCTCTGGTAGTCATTAACTGTAAGGAAATGTGGATGTTGTTTTGGAGGGTTGTCCCATGATATGAAGTGGAGGTCATGGTTCACAGTAGTGTTACGAAACTCCTCGGCATTGCAGATTACCGTATGAAAATACCCTTCAGGTGAAGACAGAAAGTTGGCATAATACATCAAGACTATTCTAGGTAAGTTATCCCAACCCCACAGACAGTATTCAGTAAATGGGCGAGAGAGCATCATCCAGGCAGAACCTGTGCAAAATCAAGAATTAAAATTTAATAACTAAGATAGCGTGGAGCTGGGACTGTGCCGATTTCAAGTTCCTTTCTCCAGATTAGTCCATTAGGTATGGACAGATATTTAGATTCAGTAAACTGGTGATCTCACGCAACAAATAGTTGCAAATGGCCAAACTTTAAGTGAGGAGAAACTGAGAAACGACACCAGTTTGAGCATACACAAATAGATCTAATTGTGACTTAAAGCAATTTGTGCGGAATGGATACACAGCTCATGAGGGATTCTTTTCGAAGCCTGTAGTAAAATTACCAACTAGCAATGGAAACTTATGTAATTTAGTTCAAGACACATGCAAAAAGTTGTACTCAAAAAGAAAAAAGAATGGGCAAATGTGAAAAAGGTATGAAATTCCTAATAATCATTCTTAGATCCACTGACTATTAGATTATTTAGATTGCAAATTGAATTCACAAATCACAATACTATCAATGTTTTCTCTTTCATCCTTTTCGTGTTTGATTTCATTCCGGATTTTCTTTTACTGCTACATGGGTATTGTGATTTTCTTTAATCTATTCAAGGGTTCGATTTCTTATATAGGTAGCTTAAAGATTTTAAATTTGGAAGACCAAAAAATTTGAGAGGTGGGAGGAACGAAACAAAATACGTCACCTGTAAACAGCTTGTATGCGGTGGGCACATTTCTTTTCTCCGTCACCCAAAATACGTCAGATTTATGCTCGCTATGAAGACCTGGGTCAACTATAACAGGCTTTGCCCTCTGGTGCCTATTGAAGTGTGAATAACATTACTTGTGAAGAAGAGGTACAATTGATCTTTACACAGTTGTATGTTACTTTCAAAGGAAATGCAGAACATGCAATGAACAGAACGAAGAAAAGAATTAGCAACTTACTCCTTCCACCCAATATCACTGGTATGTTCAATGAAGTTCAGGTCTCTTGGAATAGACGAAAGTGTATGCAGCAGATCTGTTGTACAAAATAGATGTAGCAAATTGCAACAGTCAATGGCAATGAAAACTGGGCAACATAGTTTGCTTCAGTTCTCATTCTATTTTAAGTTCCAATGGATTAGCCAATTCAACCAGCAAACCATCAAATTCTAGAATAACGTAGATTTGTTGATGAATATTACTACGCATTATACACAGCAAAATATGGTTATGCTTCCGAACAGAAAGAAGCATCAATGCAAACTTTTAGAATTACAAGCAGTTTTATCTGAATTTTGGTAATATTTCCAATCCCCAAATTGCACTCACTGAAACCCCCTCCCTCCAAAATAAATAAATAAATAAAATAAAACTAAAACTAACTGACGAGCGAACAAACAAGATATTGAAAATGATTTTAAGTAAGGTAGAACTATTTAAACACAGATGGGAACCTAATTAAACTAATTTGAATAAAAATAAGTTTCTAAATTTAGCTGAGAGCAAAATTAGCAACAACAACACAGATAATAACAACCTTTTCTAAGGAACAAAATCAAACAGCCCAACACATTTAACAAACCATTTCCCAAAACAAAACAAAAACATTTAATCCATGAAACGCTAAATCAATTGGGTAAAAGCCAAGACAACAATTATCTTCCAACCTCATATCAAAGACAAGGAATCCCACAGCACAAAGGAACCAATTTCCACACACAAAAAAAAAAAAAAAAAAAAAACGCGTACGCACATAAAAAAAAACTGTTCACTCATCAAGAGACAAACTTGGCAAGAAGTAACCAACAGAGCATCAATGAACATTAACAACGACAACACGTTTGCAGCATATTAGTTCAGAATTGGTACCATCTTGGGTTACCAATGGATAATCGGAAGCACTCAAGTTGATTAACCAATCCCAGTCCCCAGCTTCCTTCAATAAAATGGCAGCAGCGTGAAGGGTATTGGTGACCATGGTGGGTCCTCTGTAAGTGACCAAGTTGGCCTTAACCAGCATCCTAACATTACCCAATTTGGCAAAGAGAGGTTCGTTCCTCACGAAATTGGCGAGGTCCAATCTCTCATGCGCCGAGGCCTCAAGGTCCAAGTGCACTACGTAATGGTTCCTTGGGTGGTAGAGGGCCTTGAGGGTCCTTTTCAAACTCTCCCCATCACCCACTGAACCCGAGATCAAGTACACGATCCTTGGAACGGTGTTGGTGGATGTGGGAGACACCCTCAGCTTGGATTCAACGAAATAGGGTATCTCCTTAATCAATGGGATTCCATACAGTTGGGAAGAAGACTTGGAGGAAATGAAAATGGAAACCAGTATGAGCAAGGTTGATATGAGTAGAGAGAAGACAAGTGGCAGAAACCACTTCTTCTTCTTCTGTTTCTTGCTGGTTTCCATTTGTCAAAAAGAACAACTAGTGTTTAGAGGTTGAAGCTTCAAGAGGAAAGCATGATGTCGCGGCGTAGGATACCGGAGCATGAGCCGCAGGATCTATGTTGGGGTGAAATGCGCACTGGAGGCTGTGGCAAATCAATGTATCGGAGAGAACCATTACCATCCCACTTAATTCTTAGTGGGATAGAGGTAGGCCTACCATAGTATTGTATTTATTATGCTTTTTACGCAAAGTTAATAATTACATTTATATTAAGGGTTTTATAAGAGTTATGTTATACGAAAAGTGATTGTGTAATGCTATAGAGATTTGTTTTGTGTGCAGTAGTTTTTTTTTTTTTTTTTGCTTCAAAAAGTGTGGGCCCCACGAAATGTTGTGTGTGTAGGAATTTTTTTTTTGTGTCATGTGAAATGATAAATACAAACCCTATATATTAAAGTAAAGTCAATAGCAAGTTTAATCTCTTAAAAAAGAATTGATAGTTTATTTTTAAATTTTAGAGAAATCATGATTTCAATTAATTGGATCTATTTTAAATTTTTGAGAGACCATAAGTCAATTTTTTTTAAGGAAATTTAATGTACCCCTTAATTTTTGTTAAGTACCCAAAAAATACTTTATTCTATATATTATTATTATTTTGGTGATATAAATATTGAAAGAATATGTACAGACGATAAAATTATCTCCTATAATTTCAAAATGATATGATTTCAAAATTTAGAAAAATAAAATAAAAATAAAGAATATTTTAAAAAATTTATTTTATTATGAATTTTTTTAAATATCCTTTTTTTTTTCAAACCTCAAAATAAAATCGTTGATTTGAGAATTGCAGAAAATATCTTTATACCTGTTCGGTTCTAGTGAACTGTAATGATATACTGTATAGTATGCGCTCAAAGATATCTTGGTTGGCTTATAGCCAAGCTCCCAATCACTGCGCACTAGCAATAGGCTTATAGCTAAGACGTGGGTGTGTGCATAGTGTGGGCAGAAGTAGTAAATGAGTTCAGAATGTCTGTACCTGGGGGTCTTAAGCCTTGTATTTATAGGGATTACCTCTTGGGCTGTGTAGATCTCCCAGTTGGTGAAGGATTCAACTACTCAGTTTTAGGGATAGGGGTTCTATCCTCCTGATCTTGATTGTTCCATGTTGTTAGCATTCTCCTCCTTATTAAGGGATTCTTGGGTAGGTAGTTAGGATATAGATAATATTCCATAACAGTTGTCCCCCAACACAGTATTGCGAAGCTCGGAATGCCGGGGTGTTGAAGTATCATCACGGACTCGGTCTTGCCGAGGTCATTTATATGATGTTCCTTAGTGATCGTGTCGAAGATTGGAACGTGAGTCCGACATTTAATATATCGAGTGAACTATGATTTCGGTCTAGAGAATTTTTCTTTTCCTCTTTTTGCCGAGATCTCATTTTGTCATTTTTGGCCTTGGTGTCAACCTCGGCTATGATGCCATGGATAAGGTCAAGTCTGACCTCTGTCATATTAGCTTGACCTTTCGCTTCTTGCCTGCATGACGGTTATGACGTTCCACGTGTCTCATGCCCATTCGAGGGTCGTGCGTCGTGCGTAGTGCGCCATTATGAACCTTCATACGTGATGATTGTGCTCATTAAATGCGTGGGGGGTAATTTACCCTTTTGTCCTGGGTTACTTAACCGTTTGTAACCCTTTCACATTCGCGCCCGAAGCAGAGATTTGCTTTAAATTCTCCTTCTCGCCTCATTTGCCACTTTCACATTTCCCTCTTCATTTCTAGGCGTTTTCGATTCTGGGTATTTCCTTCGAGTCTCTCAGTTTCTTTGGTGTTGTCTTCAGCAAATATCTCTGAGGAGTTCTGAGTTTTTCTTCCCTCTTTTCCTTTCCCTATAACCAGGTATTTCTTTGCCTTTTCATTTCCTGTTATCATTAGTTTAAGTATTTTCAGGGCATCTTTGGTAGTTTGTATTTTTACTCGGAAGGGGCAATGTGTTGTGTCAATTTGGCTCTTTATCTTTTAAGAAGGTTCTTCTTCCTTGGGATTTCTGATGAGTATCCCTGGTTCATCTACTGGCTCGGCTGCTGGCCGAAATGGTGGGGGAGATGATGAAACAATTGCCTCGGACAGTTCAATACTGGCTCTTTGGTAAAGAGTATATACCGAGGAGGAGAAGCTTCAACAGCTTCTTCGAGGTCACCGAGGGGGTCGCCGAGGTCCCCGAGGTGGACGCGACAGGATAGGACAAGGTAGGAGAGGAAGAGGGAAGCGTCAACCTCAGCTTAATTTTGGTAGTGTTGTTGGTAGGGGTGGGCCTTCTCCGGCCTCAAATCCCGTAGTTCCTCCTGGGCCGAGCTCTTCTTGTAACCCAGTTCCTCTATCTTATATTTTTCCCTCGTCTCACGTTGCTCCGGGTCCGAGATCTATTCTAGATCGGATCCCTCCCTTTGGGCTCAGCGATAGTTCTTTTAGTTCTTCCTCATCCGAATTAGGTTTTTCGAGGTCCGAGGCCCCCTTTACCCCATTCTGTGATTCGACTTCACATTAAGTACCCTTTATTGATCTTGATAGTAGTTCTGATAGTTCTCTCCCTTTTTCTTGGAGTCCATGTTCATCGCTGTCTGACCTTAGTGGTTTAGGGTTGGATTTAGTTGATTTTTATACTGACCCTCGTCCTTCGTGTTCCAGGTCTGTGGTCATGGAGGAATTCGATGTTCAAAATTGGATTCTTCTTGAAATTCTCAATATGCGGTCCGCCATGTCGCCTGCCGAGGTATCCCAACTTCTTGTTGGAGACCCTTCTGGGGTTGATATTCTCCCAGCAAGTGATAGCCCGGTATGTGCGGGTCCTGGTGAGGAAGAACCTCATTTTTTCTTTTTTATCGGGACCTGATCACCAAGGTTGGACTTCGGTTCCCTCTTTCCAAGTTCCAAATCATTGTGATTCGTCGGCTTAAGATTGCTCCCACACAACTTCACCCCAATTCAAGGGCCTTCTTTCGGGGTTTCGAGCAAGTGTGTGCATATCTATGCCTTCCTTGCTCGGTTTATTTGTTCTTCTATTTGTTCAATGTATATACAGTCCGGACTGGGGCCGAGGCTAAAGAAAGGAAAGGTTGAGTTACCCTTCGAGGTGCTCCAAATCAGGGTATTTTTATTCCCTACTCCCAATCTTTCAAGGGCTTCAAAAATGCCTATTTTAAAGTGGCAGCTTGTTCTGATTCTCTCCCCAGGTTCGCCGAGGAATGAATGAACGGAGGGGATTTGGCATGTTGGTTCGAGCTCTATTGGACGCAGAAGCATTACCAAAGGCGTCCTAGGGATTATACTACTCCTGGGGTAGCTCTTTCCGATTCGGAAAGGTTGGCAGCTTCCGTCCGAATTGGTTATGCCAAAGAGTTTGGCATTATCGATTTAAGTCGGATTGTAGAAAAATTTGGAGATGATCTACTTCAAGAACTCGGTATGTGATTCCCATTTTGAGGTTCACTTTAATTTATTTCATAACTTGCATTCTAATTTTTGGCTCTTTTTGCAGTTAGCATGACGAGCTCCGCGTACAAGAAATTTTTGGCGAAACCTAAGTAGACTTCTTCGAAGGGAAAGGCTACTGACGATGCCATCCTTGATGCCGAAGTGACAAAGAAAAGGCGGCTCAATGTTGTGACCGGAGGAAGCTCGTCTATTATGGGCGATGTTGCACTCTCATCTGAGGTCTTTGCCTCCCAATCCACCCCTCCTGTATCTCCGCCTCCTCCACATGCTCCTTAAGGGGACATAGTCATTTTGGAGACCGGTAAGCTATGGAAAGTCAGAGTTTCAGACCGGCTTAGGGCTGCTGACACGAGCTGTCGAACTCGCGCAAATTAAAAATTATTTTTTTATTAGGGTTCAGAAAATTTGTAGTAGAGTGGAAACCCAAAGTCGTCTCTCTCAAGGAAATTGCTTGGGTAAAATCATTTATCAAAACAAAAATTAAAAAGGGGGGTTTTTGAATTTTGGTTGAATAATTAAAAAAAGCAGAATATGAAATTTGATTTAAAATTCGTAATTAAAAATAACCAACCTAAGGTTTGGGTTCCATGGACATCTTTCCTCGGATAAGAAGATATCAGAATCGTGATTGATTTGTCAATCGAATCAGAATCCTTATTTCCAATTGACAACCCTCTCAAAGCGATCGCTTAGCATTTGATCAAAGACGCCGCTTCTACTCATACAATCATAGAGTATCAGCCCGCTTGATTTAAGGTCATAGGGTCAATCAACCTAATCATCAAATTTGATGATTAATCCCTTTCCATAATCGCAATAGCGAACCTCAGATTGAATATCCACGATCGCACGATATCAATCTGAGTTTGGAAGGGAAACGAAACTGATTTGAAATAAACGCAGACCCTCAAGACTAATCCATGGAATCTATTACCCTTAGGTTAATTAAAAGGTTCTTAGCCTCGCATGGCTAAGGTAAACAAAATTGAAATAAAAAGAAGAAGAAGAAAAAGATGAAGAACGCGAAGAACGCTTCAGAGAAAATACTTTGATCCTCAATTTTGAAAATTACAGAATGAAACAAATGTTTCCTACTTTGCCGTCATATACCCCTACCCAAAGCGGGTTAGGGTTCAGTTCTGATCGGCCCATCTATCTAAAATGCGAAATAAAATAAAATAAAACTTGTCTTTGGGCCACTTATGTAATTGGGTTTTAAATTACAAGTCTAAAACTTCAGCAAAACACGTTCTTCTTGGCGTCAGAAATCGACCAGCTTCCAGTCCGAATTGGGCTTCAAGCTCTGCATAAGAATTGTAGCTCTCTGTGTTTTCTGAAAAACCAAACAAGAACGGAGTCAATCCGACAACTGTGGACTGAGATATGGCCAAAATACAGAAGTAACGTAAAGCTGAAAAATTCTGACGAAAATAAATTAAACCCAATCAAACACTAAAAATGTAAATTAACTCAAAACATCATTATTTTATTCAAATAAATCCTAAAAATACTAATCAAGAGTAACAAATAAGTGTAATAAA